GCTTAATATAGATGATGCTCATATCAAAGTTTAGGAAACTTCAATTTGGATTTTTGAAGAAATGAAATTTGATTTTGATTTTGATTTTGATCGCTATCTCTCAATCTCAAATCTCAAATGTTGGCTTATTGATTTGGTGATAATATTGGGGCTTGAATGAGGTGTTGGTAACAAGTTAGTGATTGTGTACTTAAATTTTATTTTTGGTGGATTTTTTGTGATAGAGGATTTGATTGATTTTTGGAGATGCGGGTTCGGACTTTGAGAGAGATGTATAGTGTGTGGATGTGAGTAATTGTAGCAGTGGTGGTGTTTGTGTGGTCTAGAGAACTGGTGCACAATGGCCGTGGCTGGGGTGTTAGCGTGGGGGAGAGGAGTATGAGAAAAATGGTGGCTGTAATGTCTTAAGGGTAATATGGGGATTATGGATAAAATAATCTTTGGTGTCATTCCTTTTTGAAGTGGTCGGTAATGATTTTGATAGCATGGGGTATCTTCTGAAAGGGATACTTGAATTACAAGGGTGTGCCGTGCTAATTCAGAAAATGAGGGGTCTCTTTGTAATTATATTGGGGTGTCAATCATGTTCACTGTAAAGAACTAATAAATCATATTATTGACAATTGAAAGGACCAACCTTGACTACAAGACTTTTTCACCAACAAAAGAAGAAAATAAATTTGTGTACAACAATTGGACTCTTCTTGGGACCTATGAAATTACAAAAGCCCGCAACTTAAAGCCCATCCTTGCAGTCTAGTTGTACAGTACTAAAAATCAATTATGAAGTTCACTCAATATAGATAAAAATTATGTAGTAACTGGACAAAAATGTAAAATAAGATGCACTGTGACCTGAACCTAGTAGTGCAAGGATCCAAAGGGCTATGCTTTGAGATCAACCCAAGTTGCCTGTAAATGTGTTCTTCAAGGTTACTCTTTCTTGCACCTTCTGTGGTCTGCATCGATTCGTTAACTTCATCTCATATTGGAATAGCACTTCTATCGCACAGCCTTACTTTCTCTAATGAATATTTATTCTTTGCAGTCAATCTTCTTACTGCTGCATTGTTCTGATACTTGTAGTGGCCTTAATTGCTTGTTTCAATCCTTCTGTGTTTATTCATTAGCTACAAGTCCCTGCAATTCTTCATCTCCCTATGATCTTTGTTTTTTTTTTTGATGGGACAATAATGAGCATAAGTCATAAATTGTAATTATGTAACCATATTGCCAAACATCTAGATTATTTGAGATACAAAGGACGAAGGCGCTACTGCCTACATTTTCTGTCCTAATTTTGTCACCACATCATATTTCATGTTTATTGGCTGCAGGTTTGAGAAGCTCGAAGAAGAAGCTTTCACTTATGCTTTCATATTGAAAGCTCTAGACATGGTTCCTGCCCCTGGCTCATAGCAGAACTGACTGGTCTATGGATCTAACCATGTTGCTCCTCACTCAACCTTATGATCAATATTTTTTATAGTCGGTGTGGGTGCAGAACTTACCATTACATTGAGATAGAGACAGCATTTAGAAGGATGGATTCAGATTTTTTTTTCTTCTTTTTAATTTGTTGAAAATAGTCAGTTGTTGCTAGTGACTACAGTTGCAAACAAATCAGTTGATTCTTTTGTCAAGAAAACCCGAAACATTTAATGCATTCTTTTGTTGACACTAATATCTACCTTAGGTTCTTTGCCGGACTAGGTTGAATGATGTCACTGCGGTGGATCCCGATGTTTTAGTGACTTTTTCTTCTGTTGGGTAGAGTAAATAAGAGATGAGGTAAGACTGGTCCACCATGACCAATTGAGGCACCCTGAATCAGACATCTATGCTCTCCATTACATAAGAGTACTGATAAAACAAGAGAAAATTTCGGTCACACCCCTTCTAATTTATCACATCTTCAAGCACACATTCTCTATTTTTTGAATTTTCACTCACACCCTATGTCAGATTAAAAATATTAATTAAAATATAATTTTACTAAATTGCGCATAATATATTTGAGAAAAAATTTCATCAACACCTTCTTTAGATAAACATATCTTTAATGAGACTTCTTTTACTTTTTAAAATTTTTTATGTATTAAAATTTAGGTTGATTAAAATTCGATCCGAATTAATTAAAATTTATTTTTTACGTATCACAATTTGAGCCGATTAAAAATAATTTTTTTCCATGTATTAAAATTTAAGCCGATTAAAAATCAATTCAAATTTTATTTAACTTGCATTGAATTTTAATTGATCTTAATTTTAATGCAAAAAAAATATAAATTTTAGTCGATTCAAATTTTAATGAATTGAATTTTAATTTATATGAATTTTAATAAGTAAAAAAATATAAATTTCAATCGAATTGAAGCGAATTTTAATTGACGCTTACGACTAAGGTACAACTAAAATCGACTCAAATTTTAATATGTAAAAAATAAACTTTTAATAGGCATCCTATCCTTTTTTTTGAACCAAGTGATGCTAGAGCATTGCTTCCAAAATAATTTTGCAGCTTTCAGCAAAAGATTCATGTTATTCTGAACCGCTTCCAATCTGTCCCTATTATCCTCTGATATACTTCCTTTAATGAGATGATATATCTTTGGTCCATTTACATCCAGTTGTTATACACATTTATCTCTATTCCATTTCAACAAACCCACCTGAAAATTCATTATATTATGGATAAAATGCTGATCTACCGGTATCCCCGAATTGGGTTCCCAGCAATGTTGAATTGTGTTTGGTTAACTTCTGTATTGACTTGGGGTTCTTTCTTGTAAGTGGTATACTTATACCCCGCACATATACTCATTATATCTGTATATATATGTAAACGTTGATATCCTTTCGGAAAGCCCCTCCCTCTTATAATTGTAGAGGTCACAAGTAGCATAGTCTTTTAACCCAACTCGCTCTTCACAAGACTCCTTCACAAGCTACATAGATTTAAAACCTAAATATTTTCTTCGAAAACCTTGACTCTCTAAAATCTTGAACTTTTAAAGCAAGGAAAACCACATTGCAGTGATCCGATTCCAAAGTAAGGATATATGTTGAACATAACGCTTTGGAAAAAAAGATTAATCCAAGAGGAAGATCCCCACACCCTGTCTAGGTATGAAGCATGAATACGGATACAGGATATGAATACGATATGATACGGATACAGTAATAATTTTTTTTAGTTTCAAGAAAATATATATCGTATCGCTATAGTATATTCACAAAGTGAAGTAACTAATTAAAAAAATCAAAGTTAATATTTACCTAGTATTTAAAAGTAATTTTTGCTAAGATAATAATGTAATAACTTTATTTTATGTTCTTTTGACATGCAATTGTAAATAATACATAAGAAACACTCATGTGCTTTTGAAGTAATATGAATTTTTTGTTAATGTACTGTATAATATGTAAATTTGAAAAGAGATGTTAAAAGTCCAACTCAAAAATTATATATGTTGCTCGATCACAAAAGTATCCGTGAAATATCATAATATTTAATTATTATCAGATACTTAGAAGGTGTATCCGATACATATCTTCGAGTATCTGACGAGTATCGTATCCGATACGATATCAGATATGGGTATGTCAACTTCAACGAAATATCCGTGTTTCATAGCTGTCTAGTCTCTGCTGTATAAAAAAAGGTATAACACTCTCATTCCAGCAAGTGAATTGATTTCCTTTAAAATCGAGATCCATCAACTGGCATTCGTCAATAATTTTTGATTTGAAATGATTTTCATTGAAGTCTCTGATGGGACATTTTTCAGACACTCCAAGATAACGACACGTGTACTCGGTGTCAAATAAATACTCTCTGCTGTGATCACGACACGTGCTCGTTGGATCATGATCCTTCTTCCTCCGCGGAGGGTACTATGCATAAGGATCTATGACGCCGGTATGCATGGAGCGACACGTATTCTTCGATCGAATTTGGGGGTACATCGGCCCCTAACCATACTAGGCCCTCGGCACCGAGGTGTATTCACTACATCGGCGTTTCTGTTCCTACAGGGTTATTGATAGATAGGTCATCAGCCTGGGCTAGGCTAGATTAGTCATCATGACCTGGTCTTACCTAGATGGTGTCAGGACGCATAGGAAAGCAGAAGACTCAACCAAAGGGGAGCTGACATGTGGCGTACTGTGTCAGATCAGAGGCAAAAAGACCAGAATGCTCTTACTGACACACGACTTGGGAAAACAAGCATTTAATGCACATTTCCTTTGATGAGACAACATTTAATGTGTGAAGACCCGGAAGTGAAAGACAATGAATGTTCCTGTAACTAAGCATTTAATATATCCCTGCTGAGTGAAGGTCATTAAACGCTCAACAGACCGAGGGTGATGCATTGGTTGCTCGGGGTCCCGAACAGTTAAGGAAGAGGTCATTTCTTCTAAAAACTAGTGTGCACGTTACCCACCTCTATTGATCACCTACTAACCATACTTACAGCAATCCTGAGTTTTTAAGGTATAAATGTTTCTCACAAAACGCATGACAAAGTACGCAAAAAACCTTTTCTCAAACCTTTACACAATGTTTTCTTCTTCCCTTCTCTCAAAGAACTGGCTTGATCGTCAGAGGAGATACGCCGAAAAACACTCCGGCGCACTCCTAACTCATTTTTCTCTGTTCCAGGAATCTCCCTTAGCCTTACAGGACCACCCCGGTGACCCACAAAAGTCACCCATTACCGTTCTAGGCTACCACCGGTACTCATAGTCTGTTCCAAGCAGCAAGGTTGACCATTCGATTGACTGACTCGTGTTCACCACGGGAGAGATCTGTTCTCGTGTTTATATTGTGCAAGATCTTGCACGCACAGTCTCTACCACAAATCCATGGAATATTTGATCGCCTGCTTATTTGCCGCAGCAATGCCCATGATTGTTTATGCTTGGCCACTTTTGGATGACCATAGAATCCCACAAATCTCCAAAAATTATCTTGGTTCTCATTCAAAACAGCCTCAATGTGAAAATTTCTTTGCCATAGCAGGGCCAATCCCCCCTGCTTTTCCACTTGAATCAACAATCAGACCAAGGGGAAAACCAATTCTCCTTTTAATATATTCGAACTCAAACGAACTTAACCTAGCTTCCATTAAGAAAACTAGTTGGGGAACTTCTCTCTTCACCAGATCATGGAGAGCTCGAGCTGAACAAGAGATCCCAAGCTCCTGACAATTCCACATAACACCAATCATAACGTTTGATAGGACTGCAAAGCAGTCTCCGCCGCAGAAATAGTAGAAAAAGCCACATTGCCATACTGGGAAAAACTCTTCTCAGTGATTGAACCTAACTCACTTGGACCATAAGCATCAATTTCGAATTCTTTCCTCTTTTCCTCAATTGAGACCTCTAGAATTTCCCAACTCTCCACCCTCGATGGAACAGACGATCTACTTCACTATTTACCCTTCTCTTGCTTTGTATACCTCCTAGGTTTATCATCTTATGGAACAAAGATGCCTCGGTTGTGGAAATTTATAAGGATGTCATCAATCACTTGGGGTGATCAAAACTTAAGTCTTTGCTCTCTAATAGAGGCGGTGTTGAGTTCGCAAAGAAATTCTGAATTCACGATTGTGAGATATCCCCGATTAGTGTCAAAATGATACAATCGACAAGGCATGCGATTGCATGTATGTCCATGTTTCAAAATCTGAGACTGATGTCTTTGTAGCTCTCTATGAGAGTTCGTGAAGCTAGTTGTCGTAGATATTCTGCAAAACCAGAGCACTTGAGTTCACATTATAATAGACTGGACTATGGGCTTGAATTGTAAGAATCGACGTAGAATAAGATTCGATCATGCTACTGAGGCATTCATCCATGGCCCATATTGATTAGAGCACTTACCTTCACTTGGCATAATAATACCCCTTGAATCACATCGTTTCAAAATATGTCCGTCCTACTCTTCCACATTTGAAGCATAAAAACGGCAGCCTTTCATATGTAAATCTAACAAAGCACAAATTTCCATCTGGACCACGAAGTTTAATCCCACTCCTTAGTGGTTCAAGAATATTAACATCTGTCCGGATTCTCATAAAGTTCATTCCAGCAGCAGGGGATTCTCTTAATTCCACCACCACGAAAGAACTAATGCTTCTTGCTATCTTAATAGCCAAATCCTTTGTGCAGAATTCTAGTGGAAGCCCAATTACTTGAATCCAGAATGGAGACACATTGAAAGAAATCTTATCAAAGGAAGTCTCTTGTGACCATTGCTGGAATATGAGAAAATGGTTATCAAAACCCCATGGTCCCTGATGAAGAGCTTTATGCATATCCTTATCATCTTGAAAGAAGAAATTTTAATAACTTTAAGACCAGAAATTCCCCGAACAGTCGCCATCGTAGATTTCAGAGCACCCGGATAAGTCATTCTTTCTGATAATAGTTTCCCATAAACACTTTTCCCACATTCCTTCAACCCTTCAACAATATCATTGGAATTGAACTCCAATATAATATTTTCTTCCTCTGTGAAAGAAAATGAACCAAGTTTACCAAGTAGATCATCCATCTTGGAGAATTAATATGAAATATAACCAGAGCAAAATACTTTTGGAAAGAGCAACTGATGGAAAGATAAACTATAATAGACGAAAGAAAAAACAACAAAGTAATAAATAAGCAATCTATGTTGATACCACATAATGATGACAAGGAAAAGAAAAAGAGACTGAAACCTAGAATAGAACTGAATCAAGAATGCAACGGTTCATAATCAAATCCAGAAGCATTGCCGAAAGAAGAACACAAAAACCAGATTCATCTCGATAGATAAGAGGAAAGTAAAAAAACTCCTATAGGGAAACCTGAGAGAAAGTCGAAGTTTCATGAATGTTAATGTTAATTTGAAAAAATTGGTGGCCAATTTGGTGTTAGTTTGGTCAAATTGAATTTAAAAAAAATAAAATTGAAGGTGAATTTGGTTTTAATTTGATGATATCGAATGTTAGAATTGGGTCTCAATTGATTATTAATTCATGAATTTTAATGTTTATTTGATAGAATTGGTAGTTAATTTGGAGTTAATTAAATTTTAATAAATAAAATTGAAGGTAAATTTGGTGTTAATTTAATAAAATTAAATTTTAAATTGATGAAATCAAATATTAATTTGGTGTTTATTTGATGAATTGGATCTTAATTGGATGAAATTAAACAATAAGTTCATGAATTTTAATGTTTATTTAATAAATTGGCAGTCAATTTAATATTAATTTTATGAAATCATTTAATAATAAGATTGAAGGTGAATTTTTTTTTTATTAATTTAGTGAAATTGAATATTTATTTGGTGTTAATTTGATAAAATTAAATGTTTTGGTGTTACAAGCCCTGTTTGAAATATGGTGAAATTAATATTTTTTTTATCTCCAAAATATTTGTGATCTATCTCAAGAACTTGAGATCTATCACAAGGTTATTGTAATCTCCCCAAATGTGATTTTCTTACCTACATTTGGTAATGTACAACCAATCTTATTGACAAAAAAAAAAAAGTAAGTTTAGGATTTATCACAAAGGCCTATAATCGATCGCAAAGTCATTGAAGTGAATCTTATTGAAACTTCGAGAATTGGTGGCCTATCACAAAACATTTTGGATCTCACAAAATTTACAATTGTTTACGGTTACGTTAAAATGATTGTGGATAAGGTTACTAATATATAAGCCAATTTTACTTTTATTTTAATGAATATTACGATAACCATGGATAATAATACAAACTTAAAGGAAAATATATGGCATCAATGGGATACACTAGTGTCATATTTACGACAATTATGCTTAAATGTGTCAATCATATTTTTATCACGACATTGATTTGATTCAATATCATTAAGCATAATATTACCATTGTTATGGTAATAATTATAAGAATTGTGATCAATTTACCACAATTAAGGGCAAATTTATTACATTTGAGGGTTAACTTACCATAATTGTGGATAAATTTATAAGTTTAGAGGAAAATTTACGACTTCTTGGTTAATATTATGATAACTTTGGGCAACATTATGAAGATAAATGGTAAATTTACCAAAAAAATGGGTTAAGTTAAAACTATGGTGGATGAATATGCCACAATTGGAGTTACATTACAACATCAAAGGAAAAATTTACTACAACTTAAGGTTACGTTATAATAGATGAGGTTATTAATATATAGACCAATTTTACTTTTATTTTGATTAATGAGAACTGTGAATAATAATACAAACTTAAAGATAAATATACAACATCAGTATAGTGTACTAGTGTCATATTTACGAGAATTGTAGTTAAATGCGCCAATCATATTTTTGCCATCATATTGATTATATTTAATATTATTAAGAATAATATTACCCTGTTGTGGTAAGATTTGTAATAACTATGGGCAATTTACTACAATCAAGGACAAATTTACAACATTTGAGGGGAATTTTATCACATTTTTTGATGAATTTACAAGTTTAGAGGAGAATTTATGACTTTTTTTTGGTTAAAATGACAACAACTTTGGACAGTATTATGAAAATAATGGGTTAATTTACCACATTAGTGGTTTAAGTTAAAGGTATCCAATCATACTCTAAACTACTAACTTTGTCCACAATTCTTGTAACCTTGGCCTCAATAGTGGTATATATACTATTAATTGTGTTAACTCATCCACAATGTGGTAATTGGTTTGCCGACTATTATTATAAATTTTTCACTGATGCTTTAAATTGTTCATTAATATGATAATTTTGCCACTAATATTGTAATTTTTCCACTAATGTTATAATTTTTTTCACTACTGTGGTAAATTTTTCCACTATTGTTGTAAATTTCTCATTGATGTTATAATTTTGTCTACTATTATAGTTATTTTGTCCACAACTATTGTAAATTTTTCAATATTATAATTTTTTCACTGATATAATTTTGTCTGCTATTACTATAAATTTTCACTGATGTTATAATTTTGTCTACTATTATAATTATTTTGTCCACTACTATTGTAAATTTTTCAATATTATAATTTTTTCACTGATATAATTTTGTCTTGCTATAAAATTTTCACTACTATTATAAAATTTCCACCGATATTATAATTTTGCCCTCAATTGGTATGGAGAATTTATAAAAGCAACCGGTGACTTCGATTGCCTTACCTTGGCCTTTACATGTGTCAGTTTCTGTAGCCTTCTGTAGCTATAAGCTTTTCGGTGCCAAACCGAAAAGCTTCTTGGCTGTATCACAGGGAAGTGCTTGTTTAACAAATTATCACACTTAGGTTGAATTCTTTTATTTGACAATTATTCGTACTTCTATTTTTGTATGGTTGTTTTATTCGTAAGAAATAACAGAAAATAAAAAAAATATATTACAAACTCGAGTGCCTGCTCCCGCCAAATAACTATATTCTCAATGAAAGATATGAATGCTTCGCTAAACAATTTGATACCCTATTCCTTGGTTCGCACATTACAGTTAGCTCCAGGAAAATTATTAAATTAACAAAATCATTACATCTTTATGCATGTGCGTATAACCATGATCAATAGATGAATCTTTCATATTTTCATATCTCTACGTGATAGCATTACTTCGGGAATCAAAGTATAATTCTTGATTTTAGTATCTTATATATATGGACTTTGTAGTTTATAACACTGAATAAGAGGGTTAGAGATTGTATAATCACCATTGGCATAGCATCATGGGTTTTGGTATGTTTAAACCTTGGACTATTGCTTTTTGTTGACAAAAGAATTTCAAATACAATTGAATTTAGCAGTATTTAGAACCTGGTATATTGAATTATAATAAAAGTGAGGATTGCATGCATGAATTTAGAGTTTCAGTTATTGATCAAAGTCCCTAAATTTTTTTGGGGAACAAAGTGAAATTCTTGGGTTCTAAAGCTAAATGAGAGGGCTGGAGATTCTATGATTACCATAGCCAGATTGTCATGGGTCCATGGGTAGCATAAGCAATGGCCTTAAGTGGGAATTGCATATTCATTCTATTCTTTGTTTATGCCTTGAATCAATTATGAATAGTACAGATGTGTGAATCACAAGTTTAGTAATCAGTGAAAAGTGAGAATGGAGTCTGGTTTCTTAATCAATGAAGTCCAATTTCAGGAAGTATTTCAATAAAAAAACTGGGAAAAATACTGTGTAAAGACTTCAGGGTGGCTGTGATTTATACGTGAGAGGATTCTTGAAAAAAATGGTATGGCTGATATTATTTGCAGGTACCAACTTCTTGAATGACACTCTAGATCAATTCAATGTTGAAAAAACCAATTTCCAAGGAACTTTGTTTAAGATCCATCTGTTACTGGTCTCACTTACTCAGGATATTGTGGTTTTTATGGTACATAGGAATACAATTTGTGCAAATACATATAAAACAATAAATTGTTCCTAACAATTTTTTTAAAGTTCTTGTTGAGCTGCTTGCGTATAGTTAGAGGTGACAAATGGGTGAATTGAGTTAAAAAGTAAATTCAATCCATTTTTTACTTACGTAGTAAATGAGTTATAATGGTTTAGATTTATGACGGATTGGGTTAAACCTATTAACCCATAAAATAATTAAAATTTTTAATAGAAACATTAGTACACCAATATACACACATTAATAGTACATCAAAATACAAATATACACACGCATTAGTAGTATACCAAAATACAAACATACATATACACTAATGCACCAAAACACACAAACTAATATACTAAAAATATATACACTAATACACAAAAAATATACACACATAGATTAACACAAAAACTAAAACATATTTAATAAAAAAAAACACATATAATGGGTCGAGGTCGATTGTAAGCTATGGGTTGGTCCGTGGGTCGACTTGCAGGTCATGTGTTGTGAGTCAACCTATGGTTCATGGAGCATGAGTCGTGGATTGACCCGTGGGTCATGGGAGCGGGTTATGGTTTAACCCGCATGTCATGGGTGGTGTATTAGTGTGTGTTTTTTATGTGTTAGTGTGTGTATGTTTTAGTATATTAGTATATATGTGTATATTTTTTGGTATAATAGTGTGTATTTTTTGGTATATTAATATATTTATTTAATTTTATTATTTGTGTTATTTAATAAAAAGATAAATACTCAATCCAATAGAAACCCATTTATAATATATATTAACCCGTTTAATTAAAATAAATCATATTACCCAAACTATTTGAAACCTATATTAATTAATATAGATACTCAACTTATTTATTTATGAGCAGATTGAGCAAATTAATGGATAATAGATTAAGATTGTCACCTTTACATATAGTGGTTAACTGGTTATTAAGTAATAAGAAAAAATTATAGGGATAATTTAGTGGATATACAAATTCCATGAAAAGTATGGTTTTATTCTATCCAAGACTTTGCAATTGTTAGTTCTCATATACCTTTTTGTGGTTGTGTCCTTCCGTTGATGGATGTGGCTTTATTCAATCCAAGAGTTTGCAATTATTAGTTCTCATATATATTATCCCTTTGTATGGTTGTGTCCTTCTGTTGATGCATGTGGCTGTTGGAAAAGGAAAGGGACATTACCCTTGCAAGAGCAAGATATGGCGCAATTACCTCATTGAGTTTGATTTTATTACCTCACTCTATCTCATTGTCTGTCTCCCACAATATTTCCTCATTTGTTACAAATGAAATTGATTGAGGTGTAACGCACGTGTGCATCAACTATTATATCAAAAAATAATACAAAAACTGTACAAGACGCGGTTTATAGTTTATCATTTACAAACTATTAAGTTCTTCATCAATCAACTGCACCACAGTAATCCAAGCATATGTTTAAATGAAATCGACAAACATATGAGGATGGGACTTTGGGTCATAAAATAATAAAAAACTTGGGCTGCTCATTCAGATTTATTAAGGAAAAATAATAGGTTAATAGTAACTTTGATTTTTAAAGTATTTATTTTTTATCAATTTAGACTTCAATGTATCAATTTTGTCAATTTAGTCTCTAAATTATTTAATTCATGTCATTTTGGTCCGCACATAGACGAATCGTTAATTTTTTTGACGGATGTGATCACGCGTTATTTTTCAGATAGTATCACGTGCCCAATACATGATCATTTTATAAACAAACTTAATGGTTTGCCTATGTGGGAATCAAAATAACACGAACTGAATACTTTAAAAATTAAATTGACAAAATTGATATATTGAGGAATAAACTGACAAAAATTAAATATTTTAGGGATCAAAACTACTATTTACCTAAAATTAATTGAATATCATCTCATGTTGTTATCAACCAAGCAACCAACCAATCAACCAAGTCTTATGTCTTAATTACTTGGGGTCAGTTGTATGAGTTTGTCTTTACTATTCATTTTGATTATGCTCTATATAGTTATTTAAATTAAATATTTTTATATTTTTGCACGTGGTCATTTAAATTAAATATTTTTATATCTTTTCACGTGGTCAAATTCAATATGGTCCGGCCTCGGCCTTCTGTGCAGGCCAAAGCTGTCTTTCTGTGCTATATATTTGTCTAGCTCGCAGACGCAGACGCAGACGGCAGAAGCATTAGAACAGAAGAAATGGGAAGCATTCCTGAGGCACCACTGGGCTCAACTGATGCAACCATTCCTTTACTGGGCTTTGGGACTGCAGCATGGCCTTTTGATGGATCCGACACCGCGAAAACTTCCATTCTGCAGGCAATCAAACTTGGTTATAGACACTTCGACTCTGCTGCAATATACGAATCCGAACGGCCTCTTGGTGATGCCATAGCTGAAGCTTTAGGATTAGGGTTCATTAAATCACGTCAAGAACTGTTTATCACGTCGAAACTGTGGTGCAGCGATGCTCATCCGGACCGCGTCATTCCTGCTCTGAGAAACACCCTCCAGTAACAAATACTCTCTCCTACTTGTTTTTCTTTTTCTTTTTTTTTTTGGTGACCAAAAAATCATTCTAATTACGTATTTTTTAACTCATGATTATGCAAATTTCATATACATGTAATTATCTACTATCATGTGCAATATTTAAATTGGGTTTTAAGTATGCAAGTTTGCTCCTCGCTTCCTTGCTTGATTGCTAAACCAACTATAACAGTGTTGAAATTTACCTTTCAACAAGTATTGAATAAGTAAGAAATTGTACAGTTGCCATGAATGGCCTCCTTTACAATAATAATTGCATCACAGTCCCATGTTTCTTTATGTAGGAAGCTGGGGCTAGAGTATCTTGATCTGTACCTAATTCATTTTCCAGTAAGTTTGAAGCCAGGGGTTGACAAGATTCACTTTGATCCGAAGTACGTTCTTCCTATGGATTTCAAGTCCGTTTGGGAAGCTATGGAGGAGTGTCATAGATTAGGCCTCTCGAAAAATATTGGAGTGAGCAACTTCTCCTGCAAGAAGCTCAATCAGTTATTTGCCACCGCAAAGATCCCTCCTGCAGTAAATCAAGTGAGTCTTCTGTTTTCGGCATCGTCACTGCAACGTGAAAAATAACATTTAATAAGTCACGTAGAACCATGGAACTAGGAACATATACTCTTGATTTAGTTAAACCATAGAACTGAACCCATGTTGTACACTTTGTATAGCTTTAAATCATCATCATCATCTGATTTTTACAGCTTTTCTTTTGAATTAGCAGACTTTCCTTTTTGTTTTATACAGCTGAATAAATTTTTTTTGGCAAGTAAGAAGATTCTGAATAATTGATTTAAGAGTAATGTTATTGTGACCTAATTTATTATAATTTTTTTATTATAACTTAATTGATTTAATAATTACAACAAAATCACATCATTATATCAGATTTTTAAATCAAAATAACGTTACTTTTAGATTCAAATCAAATCATCAGATGACAATAGTGTTTTTTGGACATTAAATGTTGAACAATGCTATTGAGATCATCAAACATAGGACCTTGATTTTAATTTAATGGTTACAATGAAACTATATCATTAGGTTAATAAATTAAGTTAGATTTTTTTGTCCCAATAGCATTTCTGTTAAATTTCTTCTGGATACCCAAAAAAAAAGCTTCACTTCTTACCAAAACATTAGCAAAGTATTCATCATAGTTTGTAAATAGACTATTAATTTCTAAAGTATTAAGTCTTGATGAATTAGACTCAAGTTATGCGCATTGATGCCGAAGTATCTAAGTTTCCCCTAGATAAACCAATGGATTTCAGGCCTTACCTTTCCCTACCCAATGAGATTCGTAAACTATCCTATGGAAAACGATACAAAACTGTGATTGCATGTACTTTTTTTTGTCATTAAGATGAATTTCTTTTTCTCAGGCACATATTGTTATATTTAATTCCATTATATTGTTACATTCATAAAAAAAGAGGATGAGTTTGTTTATGCTTTATATCACAAGGTGGAGATGAGCCCGCTATGGCAGCAAAAGGGGCTTCGAGCGTTTTGTAAAGAAAAGAGGATTCATGTTACTGCATACTCTCCTTTAGGAGCCAGAGGAACAGTGTGGGGAACTAACAAAGTCTTGGATTGTGAGGTGCTGAAAGAGATTGCTGAGGCCAGAGGAAAGACAGTTGCTCAGGTAAATACCCGTATGACTTATCCCACATGTAAACTTTTTTCAGTTCTTACCTTGGCTACATGTATACTTCATAGTCCGAATTTTGAGTTAATTATTACATTATTGCCCTTTTAAAATAATATTACTATTCTACCGTACTTTAAAACTTATCCCTTGTTTTTATTCCATTAGAAGCCTGATTCTAAAACACGATTTTTGGAAGCTAAACGTGTTTTCCTACAGCTGTGTCATTTACTTGGTACAATGACAGGCTATTTTATCTTGGCATAGCAGTATCATTTTCTTATTTTTGGGACTTCATTATAATCTTTCACAATACCATTTTTGTGTATCATAATTGGAGCTTTCAATTAACGGTTTAAAGGTGAGAGTATCATACATTTTTTGCAAAAATCATGTTTTAAAATCACACTTTTGGGATAAAAAATGAAAGAATTATATTAATTCATCAACTATGCAAAACATCCTTGTGAAGGAGAGGATACAAGAAATTAGGACAATTTCCTCTCCAACACTTGGGCTCATTACATTTCAAAGAAAGTCTTGCTTGACACTTAGCAACAGAGTTACCATCGCTTCTAATCCATCCAGTAGAGAAATCTGTCAGCAAGCTCGCATGCTTGTGAATTTGATTAGCAAAAGTCCCAATATCATAGTAGTTTGGTTTCATACGTTCTATGGCAGAAACGACACTCTTCAAGTCTCATGCAAAGATCACCTTATTTTATCTTATCTCAAATGGCAAGTTTTCGTACTCCATAAAGAGCTGCCATTGCTTCAACATGCTCATGACGAAGAAGACCTTTTATGGATTCACTCAAACCCGCCACAAAATTCCCAAAATGATCCCTAATAACCACCCCAGTGCTGCCAACTTCTCTGAGATAAGGGTAGCACCATCAAATTTAATTTTGACAACTCTTGGAGGCGGTGTTGACCATTGCCTAAAACTATGGTCGTTATGTGCATCTGGGAGCGGTGAATTCTGACCTTGGGCTTCTTAGGTAGTGAGCTAGGTAAGAGACAGAAAAATCAACAAATTTCTAAGGAGATTGGACTTCTTATTGAAGGCGCGATTTGTTCTTGTCATACCATCCTAACCATGCCAGTATCATCAACAAGCTTACCTCTGGAGGATGGAGATTATCAGAGACAAAAACCAACCACTCCTAAATTGTATATCTCTTGCTGGGAGAAAGGTGATCTTCGAGCAATTCCACAACGAACGGGCATTTTAGGAATAGATGTGGTGCTGTTTCTAGAGCAAATGCACACAAGAAGCAGAGATCATCCCCTGGGATTCTTCTCCTCTGGAGATTGTTGTTCGTTGGAAGAATATCATGAAACACTCTCCGGATAAAGTGTTTGGTTTTATTAGGAATATTCGACCTCCAAATGAACTTCCTATCGCATACAATTTCACTCTACTCGCCTCTTCCTTTCTCCTATTTTCCATGATCATGTATGTGGTATGCACTTCGAATATTAAACTGCACTAACTTTGGATAATGCCAAACCTGTCAATCGCTAGGTAAATATCGGCATATTAGAATGGATAGTATATTCTTCACCTCAAAACTCATAAAAAGATTCTTAAGCACATCAACATTGCAACTCCTGAAAATGGGATCTGTTAAAAAGCTTACCCGCATATCATCATCCATATTATTAAGAGGGCTATTTGCTTTAAATATCTGGGTCTAGATAGCCAATTCTCTCCTTTTATACGCACTTTTGCCCCATTCCCAATTCTCTAACATGTACCAGCAGCTATATGACTTCTTGTTGCAAAAATGCTCCTCCAAGTATAAGATGAATTGCTACCCAAATGTGCTTCCATAATTGAAAATTTTGGATAATACTTGGCCAGGAAGACTTGACCAACCAAAGATGAAGGGTTGTATTAATCTCCAAAACTGCTTGGCTAGAAGAGCTTGATTAAATTCTTCAATATTTTTGAAACCCATACCTCCATTTGATTTAGGTCGACATAGCTTCTCCTAGATAGATCAGTGTATTTTGCTTGACGTGTCAGTTCCTCCCCAACAATATTTGGCCATGAGGCTTTTGAGTTCTGAACATAAATTTGTGGGGAGTTTAAAACATGACATAGTGTAGGAGAGGATTGCTTGGACCACATATTTGATAAGGATTTCTTTACCTACCTTGAAGAGCATCTTCTCCTGTCACCCTTGAATATTTTGCCTCACTTTTTGTTGTTCTAAGAGGGGTAACACGATGTGGACATTCTCACATTATTATACACGTCGAGCCACAGACACTTTACCAGTAGGGGATGAATAGGTTTTTCAATTTAACTCTAAATTGATTACTAATAAAAACCTAATCAACTATAATTACCTCTTCTCACACAAATTTATGAATGAATAGTGAGAACCCCTTTTAATCACCACAACTAAACTTAACCATGACGATTGATTTTAATTAATCTTCAATTAATTCACTCACAATCAATCTCACGGCAATCCCAAATCTCAAACCCAAAGCATAACTATGTATAAATATATATTCAAACAATCATTCTAACAAACACATAATGCACGTGTGTGCTCACAATCAGAAGTGTGGACAATAAAAAATAAAGAACACAAATGATTTATTGATGCGATAAACCCTCCTCGAAAAAAACTGTGGCAGACCTTCTCAGTTCACCAAAGCCTAATCCACTACTTGCTAAGTCAACATACAATTACTCGAGTCTTATACCTCATCCAATACCATGGTTAAATGCTCATTTCCTTATCATCTCTCTGTTAAAGGCCCTTCTTCAAAGTCTAGTGTAGTTTCACATGAACATCTCTGTCGCATGGTTTGTCTAGGCCTCAAGTAATCATGGGCACGCCAACGATTTTTGGTAGGCACATACCAATGGTTTTCTGAAACCATCAAAATCTTCAATGAGGTTGAATCTCTAGTGGTAGCTTTTGGATTTTGAGATCTAAGTTTGTGGTGGAAGCTCTCAAAGTAGAAGAAATATTTTTTATCTTATAAATCTCACCAGAGACTTAACCTAATTGTGGGAAAGACTCTTCATATTTATAGGTGAAGAATAAGGGTAGTTTTAGTAAATAAAAAAACTAAGAATCGTGAACGATTACTTGATCGGTGGCAAGGCGGTCATAGGGTGCTTGGTTCTAGAATGAAAATCACGTTTTCATCCTGTCCTGGAGCAGCACCGCTCGAGCGACCATGAACATTACTCAAGTGACCTTAAAGGACCACTTGAGCAAGCTATATGATGTTCCCCCGTGGCTTTTTTCCATCTAATTTCCTAAGTCATCAAGAGACTATTGAATCCAAGGCTGATGAGCATAGCTCAGTACCTACTAGTATTTCAAGCACAAAACCAAACAAAAACTAGTCCTTTTGAGTACTAAAGGGTATTGCTTAAAAATGGTATGATAATTTCTCAATTTATGTTTTCAAAACACAAAATTATTTGAAAAATCTTTTCTTTTGAAATCACCTAGGATCCATACACGGATTGCTTTCAATTTCAATTTCATCCTACTCATCCTAAGTTAAAAGTAACTATGTGTTCATCTTAACTGTCTAGGTCATTACTTTCATTCTAAGCATGAAGGTGCATATGAATATTGAATGATATTGCTTTAATGCTTGATCTCGTCTCTTCACTAAAGCTTTCAGAGCTTCAACTTGATAGCATCATCATCATCAAAAAAGTTGAGATTTTCAATGGACTCCACAAAATTAGCCAATTACAAAATGTGATCTAACAATCTCCCACTTTGAAAATTTTGTGACAAAATACACAAGTTAGAAATTAAGATTACAATCCGCAAACCATTAAACAAACCAAATTATAAATCTAATCGCAACTCTCATGTACACGTCCTAAATCTCTATCTAAGTACAAGATCTATTACCTTAGATGAAGCTTGAAGATCATAATCCTCAAAATCATCACTCAAACCAAAATCTCGTGAAAAGTATCATATGTTATAAAAATACATACCATAATCATTGGTTTGGAAAGCACCAAGTTAAGTATAGGGCACAAGTATGTATACATAAGGTAACTGCAAATATATAACATGTTATGAACTAACTTGCCTAATATACTTGAGAACCTATTGATCTATCAATATAAAAGGTTGGTGTTCACAAGTAAAATAACAAATGTAAAAGAAAAAAATATTGAAATAGGTGATGTAATGCCAAGTTTGAAAATATACTACCCATAAGATTTTGAACAAACTCGCCCTTTCTATTTTCACATGCAACATATTTTGCCTAATTAATAGTAAATCTCTCTGATTTCTCTCATATGTACCTAAAATATGCTTCCCCTTTTTGTCCTAAATGGTAACCCAATGACAACGTGCAACAAGTATGGTACAAAATCAAGTAACCTAACATATTCTTATCTTATTTGCTATCAATGTTAATCCAATGACAACATATAAAAATCATGGCATAGAATTATAGTATAACAAGATGGTATGAATGTTCATCAACTAGTCAAATCATGCAAGTAAAATAAGCAAGAGACAAACAAGACATATAATTCAAAGTCAAATATGATAAGAACATCAAAATTAGGACTAAGAGTGTGTCACTACAAATGAAAATATAACTAAACAAATAAAAATTCAACAAAACGTAAAAGTCAACAACAAAAAAGTAAAGAGTACTTTAGTATAGACCACGAATGAATAAACACTCTCATCTCCCATATTATTGAAACTAAAAGTCTCTACAAAATGACAACTCAAATGGACGTAAGCACATTCCAAAAACCAAATCGGGGTGGCTCGGACTCCTTCTTAGAAGTGTGCAGTAGGTCAAAAGTAGTGATTGGATAGCCTGAGGGATTCAATCATGTGTTCTTAATAGCTCTCAACTACTCTTTAGCCTTTAAAAACATACATGAATGTATATACAACCTATATGCACAAAATCATGAAACTTACACAAGTTTGCATTATAATTGCTCCATCCAACATTCATCATCTAGAGCAATGTTTTCTCACTTGGTTCAATCTCACTCACGTGTTCAAATCTTGTTCAACTTGGACAAATTCAGGTGTAGTATGTACAAAACCAAACTCCAATACAACTAGAATTTCACTTAGTTTAAATCATTAATAAGCTCAACATGAAATACTAATGCAAGGTCTAAGTGAATACATGACCGGTTAGTGAATGTTCTAATAATCTTCTTTTTTACAACTC